AAATATGTTCAGATCTGATAACAATGTTATCAAGGTATGAAGGGGCATTGTTACTGTTTGTGATATGGACAATCTCTAAGTATATAAGTACAAGTAAGATGCGAGAATACAGTATTAAGTGGACCAAAGTACCACCATGATAAGGTGTGAGGACAAAGCACCTTACAAAGCCTTCTTAATAATGCTGAGAAGGTGAATGGAAAGGAAGCATGCATCCAAGTTGACAGGTGTTAGCACGTGCACGCCAAAAATGCTGCCTCCGCATTGTTACATTTATTACCAAGGACAAAATAATTGTGGATGTGAGCTCTTCAGAAACTCGTTCTTTCTGAAAACTGTGACTACACTACACTTTGTATGGTAAAATGATGAAATCTCAAGCAAGCCTTGGTGGGGACCCTCCCTGCTTCCTGGCCCTTGACAAGGATGCTCCTCTGTCCTTACTGAACTAACATCACTGGGAAAACTTTTCCAACACCGCCACGAGGAGTCCTTGCAACTCCAGCTCCTACAGCACCCACCATACCTTGCCTCCCCCACTGGTGTCTGAGTCACTGGACGCTGGGAGCTAAGTTTCAGTCAGCTTCTAGCCCCGCAGTTGACTCATACTAGGTGCTTAGTGAGTAAATGGTAAACAAGTTCAGGAACTATGGGAAAGAGTGTTTTGTTTGTTTTGAGGTTGTTATTGTAGTTTTTGAAGGGCTTAGCCTTGTGCATGCCAGCAAAGCTCTCAAACACTGAGCCACTTCCCTGTTTTTTTGAGACAGGGTCCCACTAGGTAGCCCAGGGAGGCCCCTCACTAATACATGATCTTTGGCTTTGGCTTTTCGATATTGGGAGCACAGACATGTACCATCAGACCCATTTAGGAGTGGTAAATCAATAAATTATTGATTTATTTTATGTATGTGGATGTTTTGCATGCTTGTACGACTACTGCATGTGGGGGCCAGGAGAGGACATCAGATCCCTTGGAACTAGAGTTATAGGTGGTTGTGAGACATCATGTGGATGCTGAGAATGGACCTGGGTCCTCTTAAAGAGCAGTCAGTGCTCTTAACCACTAGGCTGCCTCTCCAGCAATAGTAGTAGTATTTTTAGAGTAGCTGAGTCCTTCTCTAAGGTCACTCATTCAATGAATAATTAAACACGCACTATAGTAAATAATAGTAATTTAAAAATCCAATTTTTGACCATAGTGTTTGCTGTATTCCAGGCAAATTATTTTAAAAAAAAATATGGGCAGAGCAGATATGGTATATGCCTTTATTCCCAGCACTCAGGAAGCAGAGGCAGGTGGATCTCTGTGAGTGTGAGACTAGCTTGGTCTACAGAGCAAGTTCCAGTACAGCCAGGGCTACATAGAAAAACCCTGTCTCAAGAAAAAAGGAAGGAAGGAAGGAAGGAAGGAAGGAAGGAAGGAAGGAAGACATGTACATTATATAGTATTAGAGAAAATGACATAAAGCTATTAATTCAGTAATGACAAATCAAAATAGAGACCCACCGTTTACTTCTCTGATCCCCTTCCTTCTTCAATCATATCCCTGCTACTTTTTGTAGTTTTTAAATATAGATTCTGCTTCAGAGAGAAATATGGTATGCTTGTCATTCTGAGTCTGGCTTATTTCATTTAAGATGGTGACTCCTGGTTCCAACCATTTTCCACTAAGTAATGGAATTCATCCTTCTGTATGGCTGAATAATGCTTCATTGTGTAAATATGCATCTTTACCTATTCATCTGCTGGTGGACACCAACTGAGTCTATAACTTGGCCCTGGGAACAGTGCCATGAGTAACACAGATATATATGCTGGTATCCCCACTGTGTGTGGCTTTGATTTATTTGGGTATATACCCAGAAGTGATACACCAGGATAATATGAAAAATCTACTTGTTGTTTTTGAGACCTCCATTGTGATTTCCATAGAGATTAAACTAAGCTACATTCCTGCCAGGAACATAGAAGGTTCCTTTTTCTCTGCATCCTTGTCAGCTTTGTTAGAAATTCTTTTTTGTTTTGTTTTTGTTCTTGTGTTTTCTTGATGATAAGAATTCCGAGTGGGGTAATTTTGTAAGATTGATTTTTTATAGTTTTAAATCATGTGTGTGCTTGTGCAACTGTGGAGGGTGTGCCTGTGAGTATTTGCTCCCACGGAGGCCAGAGACATCAGGTCACCTGGAGCTGGTGATTATAGGCAATTGTGAGCCACCTGATGTAGGTGCTGGGAACTAAACTCAGATTCTCTGCAAGAACAGTACATGCTCTCGGGCACTGAGCCATCTCTCCAGCAGCTCAATGCACTTTTAATTCGTGTTTCTCGGGCAGCTAAAGCTGTGAACCTCCTTTTCATGTATTTTTCAGCCATTTGTAGTTCACTGAAAAGTGCACATTCAGTTCCTTTACCCATTTATTGATTAGAATATGAACCAAGCATGATAACTATTTACCTTTGGATATAAGGAACTGAAGCTAGGTCGAATAGGTAAACATCTACCCTGTAACAAATACTTTAGGTTGGTTTCATTAAAATTAAGTTTTTCAACTGAGTTTTAATTTCCACTCATTGTAAGTACCTGCTCTCAGATTATATTAAAATTTAGTGAGTTCTTAAGAGCAAAGATTTATAAACACCCCTTGAATGCTACTGTCATTTTCTATAGCTATAACACAATGCCTAAAACTAGATGATTTATATGAAGGGGTGGGGGACAGCAGGGGATAGGGAGGGAGACAGAAAGAAAGACACAAAGAGACTTAAAAGTAATAAATACAAATGATCTGTAATCATTTGTAATTAAAACTCCAGGGGATCAAAGACTCAAACGCACGCACGCACGAACACACACACACACACACACACACACACACAGGAGACAGAGAGAGACAGTTAAAATAAATCTTCTTTAAAGTGGCCTCTCTTGAGAAAAGCACTAATCCATTCCTTCCTGTGGGCTCCTCCACAAGGCCCCACCTCCAGCACTGACACATAGACACCAACTCTCATCACGATTCTTGGTGCCTACAAACCATAAAAACAATTAACACTTGTGACTCAGACACAGTCCTGGGAGCTCCGTTCATTAACTTCCTCACCACACAGGACACCAGCTGCTCCCTAGAACCTGCTGTGGTGTAGGGGAAGTTCCAAGTCTTCCCCTGAAGGTCCCATATTTGCGTCTGCTGAAATAAGACTGCAGTCCACAGATTATCGGGAGCAAAGGCTACAAGAGACAATTAACACGTGCAAGCACCTGAGCTACCTGAAACATTATAACTTTCCGAAGCCAGGGGCGAAGTTGGGATTCCTTCTTCAGAGAGGAAGTAGAAGGCTTGCAGGTGATTTTAAAGCAGGATGAAATACTGTTGGGGGAGCCTGACCACAGAGTCAGATACAGACAAGGAGGCCACACCTGGGATCCCAACACTCCCGCAGCTGACGCAGGAGAACTATGATTTCTACAGGACCCCATCTCTATAGGGGAAAACAGAGAAGTAAATGATTGAAGGTAATTGTGTTCCTCTTTAGTGGACCCACCTTCAGGAGACAGAACTTCAGAGAAGTCTCTTTGCTACTACAGGAGAGGAAGGTGTCAAGAGAACCTTCCAGTAACCACAGGAAGGACCAGAGAGACCTGAGGAGGCTGCTTTCATCAAGTTCGTCATCAACACATTAAAGTACATGCAGGAAACTCATTAAATTAGATAGTTATTAAAAGCCAAGGAGGTGGTTTTTGAGGCAGGGTCTTAGGTAGCATCTTACTACATAGCCTCAAACTCCAGACCATTCTTGTAAAAAATGTACTGTTTTTTGTGCTCCTAATTAATACATAAAGCAACAAGATCTACTAAAGAAACTTCAAAGTAATAAAGCTTAAACCATCTCAAGACTCCTGGGACCTACAGTGGCTGCTAATAAGTGAGCATTTCAACTAGTAGCAGGGTCAAGGCACTGTGGTTTGTTCCTTCATAACCCCAGGATGAGGGCTACATTTCAGCTTAGAAATAAATGAGAATAAATATGTCTTGTTTTTCTCCCCAAAGTCACAGATTTCTCATACTTAAAACTCCATGGCAAACCCTTATTCCGTGACAAAATTCTGGAAGGACATATACATAGAATATAGAGTCAGGTGAGGGAAAGGGGGAAAGCAAATACACGGGGATTGTTGCAGAAACACCATATTTATGTAATACTCATGCACGAACACAGACAAACCAGACTTCAGGTCAAAAGCTGCTGCTGCCTTTGGAGGAAACCCACCAAATGTCAGAACCTCTCAGCCTTCTCCCACCCTGCCCCAAACACCAGGTGGAAATGCCACCTCTGTCTCCTCCTCTTCTTTACCACTGTAGCAGTGAGGTCACGAACATTCAGCATCTCATCTACAGGAGGCCACTGGCTTTTCAGTTCAGATAGAACTGGTCCCCAGTATTTCTAGCATCCCCAGTGAACACAAAACTAATCATTCACTAGGGAGCCATATTTTCACTAGGGATTCATAGCACTCCTAGCCAGTATTCGCTAGGAGTAACCCTTTAAAATATTATGAAACAGCATTCTCCTGGTTCCAAATAGCTAAGGGTTTGTAAAGAACATAAACGTGCGTGCTACAGACTCCTGCTTCACATGTATTAAACATCACAGTTTTCATCAGCATACTGAATGATAAATGACTTTCAAATGCGAAGGTTTAGAAGGCAGTATTAAGGAGCTGGAGAAATGGCTCAACCATTAAAAGCACTGGCTACTCTTCCAGAGGACTGGGGTTCAGTTTCCAGCACCCACATGGTGCCTCACAACCATCTGTAACTCCAGTTGGAGGGGATCCAATGCTCTCTTCTGGCCTCCATGAGAACTGCATGCCTGTGGTGCACAGACATACGTGCAAACAAAAATAAATCTAAAAAAAAAAAAAAGGTAAGAGGTCTGTTCATTTTATGTGTACGAAGAGCAATCTCTGCCTCTTCATGGGTTACTCTTTGCTTTCCTTAGAATAATGTTGGCTGCCACACTGGAAGAAGGCTCATGCATCAACTTCAGGGAAATGGCATTTATTGACAACACACTTTACTTTATACGTAAGTCTAAACCAATAAGATAAATGTGGGGCTCGGGTACAGGTTTTCAACTAGAAATGAAATTAAGAAGTGAGTTTGAATTCCTGTTTGTCATCAAATTCTACCAAAATGTTAATGACCGCCCCCCCCCACACACACACACACTCCGCTTTAAAAATAACACAAAACAAAACAGATTTCCAAGATTCAGTGCCCTGCCCCACGTCCTGGGTTGACACTCCAGATGTTTGTCACCAAAATGGTGTCTGGTGCCCTCATGAAAATGTACCATTGAGGAAACACTACTTCCCAAAAGAAATGCAATTTATGAGATTCTAGGCCTAGAGTTCTGTCTACCCCATTCATGTTAATAGATTTGACCAAAAAAAAATAATTCTTTTAAATAAGATTCCTTGGGCGACTTGACTTCACTGAAAGTTCAGCTTTCTTTGGAAGCTTCATGGAAAATCCTTAGATGTCTTGCATTTAAACAATAAACATAAAAGGAAAGTTTGCCACTTTATTAAAAAATACTTTAGCTATGTACTGAAATTACAAATCCTGGATTTAAATTGTTAATTATTGCTATTTTATGTGTGTACTTGTTTCTCCTGCATGTATGTCTGTGCAATATGTGCAGGCAGTGTCCTTGGAGGCCAAAAAAGGGTGTGGATCCCCTGGAACTGGAGTTACAGAAGGTTGTGAGCTGGAAATTGAACCGTGGTCCTTTGGAAGAGCAGACAGTGTTTTAAGAACTGAGTCATCTCTCTAGCCCTAGATTTAAGTTTAAACCTAACATACTTGTGTACACACAACCCCTAATAAGCTTAATTTTATGGGCTCCTGCATACTTGTCATGTGATATTCCTAATGGAGGTCAACAGAGCCCATCACCATTATATAGAGGTGAGGAAGTGAGGAGTGGGGGCAGGTGAAAATCTGTGAGTTTACAAAGTGAGTTGAAAGGCAGACAGAGATTTTTAGTAAGACCTTGGAGAGAGAGAGAGGGAGAGAGAGAGAGAGAGAGAGAGAGAGAGAAATAGAGTTCCAAATGTGAGGGGGAGGGGACATGATGAGCTGAACTATATAATTTAACATATTATGTTTCTCTATTCCTCCCTTTAGCTGAAGATGATGGTAAAGTATAAATTTATTTTTCTCTCTTTGCAAATTAGAAGATGCTTGAGACACGTCTATTGTCTGCTGGGAGAAACTGTCCATAGAGATGTCCAAGGGGTAGTTAATACTTACAGTTGCATTATATTCAGATAATTCTATGGGAGAGCATATTAAAACTTGAATTTCTTGGCTAATTGACTTAGGTTGTTTCTGTCTTACTTCTGCTGATTATAGCACCCTTGCATGGTGCTTGGACATTTCTGTTGTCTGGCTTGATTTGACACTGGTTGCTATTATGTAGCCTACACTAACCGAGAAGTCACTATATCACCTGGACTGGCCTCAAACTGTGACCCTCCTGCCTTCACCTCCCGAGTGTAGGGTCACGAGTGTGCAGCAGCACACCCAGCAGCATTCTTGTACAACAGCATTGGCACATGTGTCTCACTGTTTCTTCAGAATAAACTCTAGGGAGCAGAACTGCAGGTTGGCAAATCAAAGCCTCAATGGTCCCTCCATTGAGTTTATTATGTACTAGCAAGAGATAATTTCCTAGCCTGGTGTGGTGGAATACACCTTTAATCCCATCATTTTGGGAAGCAGAGATAGGCATATCCCTAAGTTTGAGGCCATCCTGATCTACAGAGCAGATGCCAGGACAGGTAAGTCTATACAGAGAAACAATGTATTGAAAAATAAATAAATAAATAAGAGAGAGAGAGAGAGAGAGAGAGAGAGAGAGAGAGAGGAGAGAGAGATTTCTTTAGGCCACCAGCTCACAAAAAATAAAATAACCTGGAGACATTGTTAATTATGTAGGCTCGGCCTTAACTTGGGTTTGTCCCTAAATAGTTCTTAATACTGAAGTGAACCCACTTCTGTTCCTCTATGTATTGCCACGTGACTCATGGCTTTTTATCTCCTCTCCTGCATGTTTGTTCCCTCTGCCTCCAGCTCGCGACTTCACCTTTCTTCCTCCCAGAGCACTCTGACCAAAAGCCTGCCTTATACCTCTTGCCTAGCCATTGGGTGTTTAGCATTTTATTAAATGAATCACAGTGGCACCACTTCACACAGTGTAAAGAAAAAGAAATATTCCAAAACAAGAGAGAGAGAGAGAGAATTCGCTATCAGGGAAAATAGAGATGGTGGGGTAAAGATCCTGAGAGCAAGAAGACTTGAAACTGCAGCTGGGAGAGACGGAGCTCAACCGGAAGCAAGGACTGGCAATTGACAGCCTGTGGTGGCATAGCTCTCATATTTGCATAAGTAGGTTGAGGATTTGGGGTTTTGGTAAATTGATTGTTGTTTTGGTTTGGCTTTTGGTATTTCAATGCAGAGTTTCTCTGTGTAGCCCTGGCTGTCCTGGCACTAGCTCTGTCGAGCAGGCACAAACTCATTGAGATCTGCCTACCTCTGTCTCCCCAGTGCTGGGATTAAGTGTGGGCACCACCGCCTCGCATTTGATTAAGGATTTAAGGTACTAACATTATAGTAGTGCTATAATGGAGCACGACTAGGTGCAGTTATAAAGGGAAGGGCAGGCAGAAGATCAGCTAGGGAAGAGGTCCCAGAGGAAGGAGACTGCAGGGTTTGTGATGTCTAAGAACATGGACAGCAGGAAGGAAAGTGTAAGAACACAAAGGAGACTGGCCAGGAAGTAAAATACTCGAACCTTTGGAGGGAGAGTAGTTCCGAGTGCAATCAGGAAACCCGGTGTGCTCTTAGGAGCACAGTGACGCTCAACAGGGGAACTTGCTCATTGCTGCTTCTAGAGCAGAGGGTTGTGCTGACTCCGCAAACAGAATTACTAGGTGTGTCTGTGGATCTAATAAAACAACTTACCATTAATGATTCAATGTGTGTTATAGGAAACCTGGAATCAGACAACTTTAGCAGGCTTCAGTCTACAACCACAGTAATACGAAATATGAATGACCAAGTTCTCTTTGTTGACAAAAGAAATCCACCTGTGTTTGAGGACATGCCTGATGCTGACCAAAGTGGTACTTTTCTCTGCCTATTTAAAAACATGACGACCACCCGCTTCTCCCCACTCCATTTACTGCCCACATTTTCAAATGTCAGGTCCTGTCCTTAGATGGAAATTCATAGTAGTAAACGTAATTCCACTTTAGAGAGCACCCATTTTTAAATGGAGCGGGGGGGGGGGGGGGGGGTAGATGCAATAAAGACACTGGTAGAGGTGACCCCCTCTGGGTCTATGGGAGCATCACCAGTTCCCCTATATCAATTGTATTCTCCATAGAAGAACCTTCTCAAATTGGATCATTCATCCCCACTGGTTATAGTTGAGCATACTGCAGACACCATCAAAATTCAAATGAAAAGTAAAACACAAGCATTTCAAATGAATATCTCTTCCACCAGAGCATGAGAGTGTCTCAAGACTTAAGTTCCAAATATCCCAGTTTGGGGCCTAGTTGAATGTATATTCTTGAAAACAAAAAAAGAGACCTATCCTAAGTTTTTTTTTTCTTAACAAATGCTTTTAATTCTCTATTAGATATTTAACAATTAAACATAGTCTTTAGACTCAGAATAACATTCTGTTTTGGAATTGGCTTTATTTTTTATTTGAAACAGGATCTCATTATGTACCCCTGGAATTCACTTTGTAGACCAGGATGACCTAAAAACTCACAGAGATCCTCCTGTCTCTGCCTCCAGAGTGCTGGGATTATAAGTGTCTACATCCACACCTGGCAGGGTTTGTGATATCTTTAACACACTCAAGAGAAATATCAGAAATCAAGAAAAATGTCAAACTATCTTTAACATACTCAGAATACTTTACCACACTCATGTTGCACACCTACGGTTTATACACCCTGTAAGTGTGATTTAAGGGGAGTGTGGCCAGCTGGGCTTCAGGTCTGTTGGCCGTCAGGCCAAACCTTCACTGCATGGTTGTGACTGACCTATTCTTTGGTTAAATTTCTATAGATGCCAGTTTGGGGGAGGGGAAGTATTCCAATTAATGGTCTCATTTATTAATATTTATTTCAGCTAATGGACCCCAGACCAGACTGATAATATATATGTATAAAGATTCTGAGGGAGGAGGCATGGCTGTGACCCTCTCTGTGAAGCATGAAAGAATGTCTACTCTCTCCTGTAAGGACAAAGGCATTGCCTTTAAGGTAAGATTCAGTTTCACTTTGATTTTAGTTATATTAATGGACAAATTATAAACGTCAGATATCCTCAGGCCAATTGTCTAGAGCCCAAAGAGCAGACACAACCACTGAAGTGGGTGAGTATGGGGAGCTGTCCACCCTTCAGTCTAGTGTGCTGATACTCGGTGGTCTCATTTTGTCTCTGAGTCTGTCTGAGAGGAAGAGACGGCTGAATGTATTCAAACTGGGTGTCTTGTATCCCAGGCTGACCTCAAACTCAGTATATAGTTGAGGGTGACCTGGAACTTTTAACTTTCCATTTATATTCCCAGATGCTAGGATTACAGGTGTATGTCCTGTGCCAGGTCTCATGCTCAGGAGCTTCCACTAATGCAGACGTTATCCATCGTTGCTATAGACTAGCTTCTGGTCAGACTCAACTTCATTTCCCTGTCATATGGCTAGAGTTTGTGGCCAAGGATCACTTCTTATTTAGATCTGAAGCCTCGCCTTGGTCCTAGATCATCTCCTGAAGCTTAAAGTCTCTGTCTAAGTGGTGGTTTACCAGGCATAGCTTAGAAGCCGATGCTAATAAGAGAGCACCTCATTCTACCATCAGTCATGGCCAATACTAGGTTGATAAATATCCAAGAACTATGGCTGTCAATTTAACTAGTTCCATTGAAAGGACACCTTCCGAATCTTCTATGCATATTAAGAAGATAGAATCATTTTTAATTCTAGAGGTTTCTTGGTCAGTCCATAGGATCATGGGGATCTTTGCTTCCATGTGGTCAAATTTAATTCCAAACTATCACTTCTATGAAAACGTAGAAGAACCTTGGGCAGTTCTCATATTTTCTAATACATCCTAAAAGGAAAACAAGATGTGAGAATAGATAAAACCAGGCACTCCTAGAAGTCAACAGCCCCGGTGAGAGAGACTAGTTTCTAGTCAGCTAATCCTGACTAAGACCCTGGTGTCTGGACAAAACATACAGGAATCAGTGCTTGTACTAAACTCAGGACAGAAGGGAGAGACTACTGTGCACTGTCAAGCTTGGCAGGAAAGCAGAGTCAGGGGCCACAGTCTGAGTCTGTGCAGCTGGGCCATTGGGGAACCCAAGACTCAGCTGGAGAACAGCTGCTGGTCTAATCACACTACAGTGTAGTATCAGGATCACAGAAAGAAGGAGCTGAGATTCGGACACCTCCCGCACCTCTCATGATGATTCAGAAACTAGAGCTACTGAGCCAAAGTGGGGAGTCTGTCAATGTGTTAGCTAAGAACAACTAAAGAAGACAAGAACTGAAACCAGCCCGATGAGATGGTCATCTCTGCTAGAACTTCTCTTCATTGTTAGCATACCTGGACTCCCTTGGTGGAAGAGAACAGAAGGAAGGTCTGGGCATAGGGGAACCAGAAGGCCTGTGTGTTGATGAGGGTGCCAGGTGGAAAAGGTCAGAACGGACAGGAAAATAGGAAGTTAGGAATTAAAGAGAAGCAGTCAGTACTTCTACCTTCAGAGAGTTTTTTCTTAACTCCTGAAAAACATAAAGCTGCTTCAGGTCTGTTTAATAATACACTTCTAAATAAAGTGCACTTTAAAACTGTTAAAGGCATTTTTAAAAAATTTCATTTTCTGTATGCACAACTGTGTGTACGTGTGTTTCTTTGGAGGTCAGAATGGGAAGCCGGATCCCCTGGTGCTGGACTTTGGGTATTTGTGAGCTTCCCCATGAGGGTGTAAGCGCCAAATACCAGACTCTGAAAGACCAGAGCAGGAAGCCATCGCTCTGGGCTCAGTTCTCTTATCCTTACAAAGAGTGTAATGTTGGATGGTGCACATCCCTTTCTGCTCAACACTTGAGAGTCAGAGGCAGGCAGACCTTTGTAAGTTTGAAGCTACCCAGATCTAAATGAGTTCTTGGACAACCAGGACTGTTAGACCGAAAAACCCTGTCTCAAAAAACAAACTATAACAAATATTATGTAATGTGCGTTTTCTCCACAGGAAATGGATCCACCTGAATATATCGACGGTACTAAAAGTGATCTCATATTCTTTCTGAGAAGTGTTCCAGGACACAATAAGATGCAGTTTGAATCTTCACTATACAAAAGACACTTTCTAGCTTGCGAGAAGGAAGGTGAATTTTACAAGCTCATACTGAAGGAAAAGAGTGAAAATGGGGATAAATCTGTAATGTTCACTGTTACTAGCTTACCTCAGAGTTAGGTATTAAGCACTTTTGTGTACCAGAAAGATGACTAGATTACATGAGCCTTATGATAATCCATTCTGTGTTGCCATAGCAAAATACCCCAGGCTGCATAATTTATAAAGCAAACAGGTTCATTTGTCTCACGTGTCTAGTCCAATTCCTACGTCCCGGTGAATGGCCCTGGCTGCATTACAGCATACAAGATAAAAGGAAAGGAATCAGCTGCATGTGAATTAGCACATGGGTGAGCCTCACTTCATAGCAACTCATTCTTGACAGAGGCTTCGGCCCTTCCCAATGCTGGAACCCTCAGGAGCTGTTCACCTCCCACCTCTTTAATATATCACCACCTCAACATGGTTGTACTGGCGATCAAGTTTCCAGCAAATCTATTCACGTGACAGTGAAATAAATACTAATAATGACCTCAACATGCCATTTAAGTATGATACTAATTATGATATTTTTTAAGTAGCACTTATGGGGTAGAGAGATGGTTCAGTGATTAAGAGCATTGGCTACTCTTCCAGAGGGAGATACACGACACACACACACACACACACACACACTATATATATATAAATATATATATAAATATATATATATAAATATATATATATACACACAAACACATACATACATATACATGCAGTGGGTTTTTTTTCCATGGGTGTTATGTCCCTGGAACTGAAATTAACAGACAGTTGTGAGCTTCCATGTGGATGCTGGGCATTGAACCCAGGTCCTCTGGAAGATCAGTCAGTCCTGTTAACCACTGAGCCATCTCTGCAGACCCCTTCCAGAGGACTCTTGTGTATATGATGGGGTATGCACATGCCACCCTGAGTGAGGGGAGTCAGTTCTATCCTTCCATCTTTGTGTGGGTTTCAGGTTCCAGGTTCTAGGACTCAAACTCACATTGTGAGGCTTGCATAGCAAGTGCCTTTATCTGTTGTGTCAATTCGCTGACTGTGTTATGTGCTGTCTTAGCCATTACAATTTTATTTCACTGGGAGAAGTTGAAGCAAATCAACATTATTAGGCAGTTTACACTCTCTGTGACCACAGCTCCAGCATCTCTGACACCTTCTGGTTCTCCTCTGTCTCTGTCTCTCTCTGTCTCTGTCTCTCTCTCTCCTCTGTCTCTCCTCTCTCTGTCTCTCTCTGTCTCTCTCTCTCACACACACACACACAGAACACACACACACACACACTCTTAAAAATAAAATCTAAGCAGAGAACACATCTAACCGCAACTTTATTTTATCATCCCTGGTCAGGGCTCTCTGGTCCGTTTGGAGTTAGGCCTGAAGGGCTGAATTCCGCCCTCTTTGTTGTCTTTCTATCATTTCATTGAGACTGAATCTGAGTCTCACTATGGAACACATTCTTCTACCTGACACCCCCACTGCAGGTTTTATGTGCAGGCACCACATGTTTTCTGGACAGTTTTGTTCTCTCTCGCTTTTCATCAGTCTCCTGAAGGTTGATACCTATAGAGTAGGGTGGAGACCATGATAGAGACTGAATTTCAGAGTCAGACAACCCCTTAAAGTGTGGGGTGCAGTGCTGTGATGGAAACTGGATTTGGGGGTCAGAAAGCCTCATTTTGAATCTCGTCCCATAACCTAAGAACCAATATGGAGAAGAAATATGGACATGGATATACTCTTTCTGAGGGATCAATGAACAGACATTCACACTGGAAACCACAGAAATGCCTCCTCCATAGGGTAGCGGTGTGGATCACATGACACAAAGATCCCGGTGGCATACAGCACTGGAGTACTTGACACTTCTCCATGTGTCCACCACTCACTTCCTCCTCGGCTCGTCACTCACACATCATGTCTCAGACATGAGGCCTTTCCCTCCCCCGTGCACTCCCCTCCCCCACCCCACACACACCATTTTGGGTCATTCCTATTCCTGCAGATGCTCTCTACTCTGAAGGAGCAGCACTTCATGCTTCTGCTCTTTCCCCTGGCTGTTAGACATATGTTGCTTCTTTTCTTCCCATCTTCTGTCAACACATGGGCTTTATAATATGGGGAGAAAATGTAACCTCATAAAGCCTGTTCCATTTTCCTTGTTAGTTTTTCCAATTCCCACCCCCTGATTGCTGCACAAGAAAATTCTAATTTACCTAGTGCACAGAAACAGCTGCTCACAACTGGAAACCTTGTTGCTGTACTGACAGTTTTCAACCCAACAGCTGACTGGGCTGTAGTCACAGCTTCAAGCAGCCTCAAAATTTCCTCCAGTGGTGTCTGAGCTGTTGGCTCATGGCTGAGCCTCTCACTCTCAAGATGGGCTTTCTGGGGGAGGGTGGATGTTTTTGTATTTTGTTTTTGCCGGGATCTATATTCAATGTATTCCACAGAGCTCAGATCTGAAGACTAGAAAATAAAAACAATAAAGGGAATAAACACTGAAAAAAAATCTCAAACTTGAGACAAGAGACCATGAGGCTCAACCTGCCCAAAGCAGGTCTACACTGGAGGCATTTCTCCCTCCTCTTCCCCACCCACATTGCTTCCTCCCCTTTCTTAGGAACACTTTCTTTTTCATGTTCTGTATTAGTTAGGGATCTCTAGAGGAACAGAACTGGTGGAATAGGAATGTACAACACACGTGTGCATGTGTGTGTGTGCGCGCACACACACACACACGACTTATTAGAGTGGCCAGTAGGTTGTAGTTCAGCACGTCCAACAATGGCTATATACCAAGAAAGTCCAAGAACGTAGATGTTGCTCAATCCATGATGCTGGAGAGCTCAGCTAACATTTACTACACACGGGGATCCCAAAGAAATAAGCCCTAAAGCCAGAGAAGGGATGGACTTACCAGCGAGAATAAGGGTGAACAGGCAAAAAAGAGGAAGCCTTCTTCTTCCAGGTCCTTTATACAGGCTACCACTAGAGGTATGGCTCAGATTAAAGGTGGGTCTTACCAACTCAAAACATCGGGATTAAACATCTTCTCATCTCAGAATAGCTGAATTACACATAGGTCTTTCCCACTACAAATGATTTAATTAAGAAAAACTTCCTCACAGGTGTACCAAGTCACTTTGGGCTTTTGTTAATTCCACATATTCTCAAGTTGACAACCAAGTATATCCGTACGGACTCTTACACTGAAGGACAGTCTACACAAAGTTTTTGAAATTGTTAATTCACTTTGCTGTAGCTTTTTGATTTAAGAAAAAGTAAGAATTTTCTCAGAAAGCTCTCAAATGTCACGCCCTGAACACAATATATTTTCAAGATTTTAATTTCTAATATATGTACATGCATGGGAGACCGTATATGTGAGTGCACTGCCCGTGGAGGGCAGAGAAGGGCATTGGGTCCCCTGGAGCTGGAGTCACAGGCAGTTGTGAGGCACCAGACATGGCTGCCTGGAACTGAGCTCAGTTCTCTATGAGCAACTCTTCCCTGCTGAGCTGTCCCCCACCCTACCATATGTTCAGTACCAGAAGCACACAATACTTTTAATAACAGGGCTTGAGAGATGGCTCAGAAGTTAAGAGTGCTCCCTGCTCTTCCAGAGAACCTGAATTCAGGTCTCAGTACCCACATCTGGTGACTGACAACTGCCTGTTAACTCCAGCTCCTGGAGATCCAGTACCCTCTTCTGGCCTCTGTGTGCATCTGGAGACACACACACGCACACACACCACAAAATTAAAAGTAAAATAAACCTTTAAAAAATTAAGCCTATAAGCAAACATAGATGCTAAGATGTAGCTACACTAATGGAGTACCTGTAGTTGTACAAAGTACTAGATTGAATCCCCAGCATGGCATAAGAGTAACCATTGTGATACAATCCTGGAATCCGATAACTCTGGCAGTAAAGGCAGAAGATCAAAAGTTTAAGGTCATTTGCTATTATTATAACAAATATTGAGGCAAACTTTGGCTACCCCGTCTAAAAAAAATAAAATTTAAAAATAAACCAGGGCAAAAGATTAGGTCTTCAAAAAATTAGTAAATAGAATAAAAACAAAGGTCGGGAAGAAGGCCCAATGCTAACTGAACCTTGACTAAATAATGTCAATAAAGTTTCAAAAACAAAAAAGATTCTAAGAGACACGCATGAGGAGGGCTTTTCCCTTTACAGCTTATGAACACGGGGTTCTTCGGGAGATATCTGTGTACGTCAGAGGCTAATTTACACAGCAGAGGCCTAGATCATAGACTGTTGGAAAGTAACATATTTTCTATGTTTTAATTTCTACTCTGTGTTCCCCCCATTCCAGAAAGAGGTGGACTAGACTCTGAATACTTTAGGGTATGCCTTTATCCAGAGGTCTAAGTTCCACGAGGGAATGCCAAGGTACCAGGGATGGGATGGGTAAGGAATTTAGTCCTCCACTACGATGATCACACCGTGGCACAGCCTAAGACATCCTTCCCTTGTACTCTCTGGCTGGCTGCTCACAAACGTGCTACTTATCAGACTCTCACTCCTGTCCACGAAACCCTGGAGCAGTGTGGCTGTCTCCACCAGCATGAGTGACATTCGTGGTCACTGCTCTGGGATCCATTTTCATTCCGTCCTTACACAGGCAGGTTTCTCGGGCCATTGGTGTTGATTGACAGAGCCACCCGCATGCCTCCCAGAGCCCCTGGCAGAGTTCCATCCACTTGGGCATTGTCCTATCCTTACCTTGATGACATTTCCGTACTCACAGTGATCCTGAGAGGGTGAGTGTGGGAAGGATGTTTGTCCAAATCGAGTATTTTCCCACGGCTGAGAGAAGAGAGAGTCCTTTCTGAACAGGTTTAGGTGAGTCCAGGAACTGACATGGTCATTGTTTGCTAGGTTTAGGTGAGTCCAGGAACTGATATGGTCATTGTTTGCTTAATATTAAATTATTTTGTACTGCTAGTAGGGAAAGAGCCAGCCTTAGCAGAAAGTCTATACCCAGAAGGAAGAGCAAGGAGCCAGCGCCTGATAGAAAACCATTCCTGCCTCTGATCCTTTAACAAGGAGCTTCTATCAGCATTAACTGGATTTCCTATGGCCCTTACCTGAGAGTCAGCAGAGTAAACCAGTCAGCCTTCAGGAAAGCTCCTTAGAATACTGAATGCCTGGCTTTCTGGACTCTGCTGGACTGCTCTGAAGAAGTTCAGGTCTTACCTGCTGTCCCCCATTTCTTTTACACTGGAGCTGTATTCTAAAGACAGCATATGGGTCTTGTTTTTGTGTTTCATAAATGCACAATGAGGATATCGACCTCCCCTGACCCTTGAACTCAACAGGGAAGCTCTCATTGGATCTTCTCCCACCTCCTCCCCAGATTCATTTTTTCAGGAGGAGGCTGAGCCTGCACAGCCTATAATTCCACACCACTGGTCTCAGAATTACAGGTCATTTGAATACTTTAATTTTCCAAGGCTGGACTGTTGGTACAGTATAGAGTGAAATGGGCACATGGGAAGGGGCAAAAGAAGGATGATCAGAGGTTCAAAATCATCTTTACCAGCATAGAAAATATAGAACTAACCTGGGGTAGAACAGACCTTCTTTAGAAAGAATAAAAAGAATAAATAAAGAAACCCAGGGAGCTGGTGAGATGGCAGCCTGCTTGAGGCCTGGGACCCACAGCTAGGGGAAAAGCACCTGCTCCTGTGAGTTTTCCTCTGACCTCCCTGTAGCATGAGCTTGTGTGCAAACACACAATAATACATAAAATAGAACTCAAAACCTGCAAGCCTCCAAAGCACTGAGGCACTCAAGAGCCTAGACTGTGCTGAGGGCAGAAGGTGACATCTGTGACTCAGGCTTTGTCATTTATCAGTGGCCTACAGCTTCAGAATCTTTCGTGGTTAAAGATTTACTATAAAAGCAGAATGCCAATATCTTCTAGCCCCAGAGCAGTGAGGTCACAAGCAGGCTGCATACAGTATACAGAGCCAACACGCTGGCCCTGCCTGGTCAGCATCCCTCTGTCAGCTTGATAACACTGCACACCCAAGTCTTCCAGTAAGTGACTGGAGAGGTGCCAGCTTCTCTCTAGCACCCTCACGGGGATAGGTGACCAGGGCAAAGGATCAAACTTGCCCTTATTAAATGCTTATTGTATGCCATTCAGCGTGTCAATTACTACACAGATGCCCACAAGTCAAATTCCTAACTCAGGCTCCAAAGTCAGGCAAGTCTCAGGAAGGGGAGCAAAACCTTTAAAAAAGATTACGTAAGAGAGGATTTTGTCACTTTTCTAGGTAGTCATTAAGCAATGTGCTATATCCTTTTATTAGTAGTGGTACAGTAGCAGTATTTATTAGTGTCAAAGAAGTGGTATGTTTCTACGTGTGTGTGTGTGTGTGTGTGTGTGTGTGTGTGTGTGTGTGTGTGTGTGTCTGTAGGAGGGTCTCCTATAATCCCAGGCTGATGTCAAATTCACTGTTGCTGAAGATCACCTTGAGCTCCTGATTCCCTGGACGCACCCTCAAAGATCCTGGGCTCATAGGCGTGCACTGCCATCCCAGCCGTGGTGAAAATAAACCTGCTGAAGGTGGCTTAATGCATCAGCTTCAGTCAAGGAGCAGCATAATCTCAAACTTCTGCCTTTCCAAACGTTCATTTACACTTATAATTAATTATCTTTGAACTTAGTTTTTTTTTTTTTTTTTTTTGAGACATGGTTTGACCGTGCAGCCTTGACTGGCCTAGAACTTGTAATGCAGACTGGCTGGCCTTGACCTCACAATGATCCGCCTGCCTCTGCCACCTGAGTGCTAAAATTGAAGGTGTGAGCCACCATGCCTGACTTATCAGGAAAAAAAAGACCTTTTTATTTCCAATGTTCAAATTCTGACCCTTGAACGTGAAGCCCAGGTCCTTGTCCCATGGTTAAGGCACTACCATAAGTCCAACCAGGGAGTTCAGTCTTATCTGTCAAATGTCTGATTTCTCTTTCTCAACATACACAACATCCCATTGGTCTATGCTGCTGGGCATAAGGGTCCCTGAAGAAATATGAGCACCCCCACCCCCTTTTTGAAAGTAAAGTTTAATCCTCTTTACAATGAAGAAAAGGAATAATTCACTTTTTCCATCTTTTATGTTTATGTAGTGTTCATATGTGTGTCTGAAGGTATGTAAGCACACAACTATGTGGATGCATGTGTATGTGTGTGCACAAGTCTCTGGAGGCCTGCGGTGGATGTCAGGAACCATCCTGCGTAGCTCTTCCACCTTCTTCATTGAGACAGGGTCTCTCAAGCAAACCCAGAGCTCACCAATATGGCTAAGCACACAATCCGGCTTGCTCTGGGGATCCCATTTCATCTTTCCAAGACTGGAACTGCAGGCTGGCCACGGGGGTTCTGGGGATCCAAACTCCATTCCTCACATTTCCAAGACAAATATATTTAAAACTCAGGCTGACCCTGAACTCACTATTTAGGCCGGGGTTCTTCCTGCCTCGGCTTGCATGCACAGGCATGTCAAACCATGTCCACCCAGTATAACTAAAGCTTTAGAAATGGACTCTCTGATGGTTAGTTTTAATTGACAACTTGTCAACATCTGGAATAAACTACAATCCAGAAATGGAGAAGACACCTGTGAGAGATTTTTTTGCTTGATTTTTTTTTTTTTTTTTGATCCTAATGAGGCAGGAAGACTTGGGTCTTTAATTCAGATCTTGAGGTGTCAAGGCACATTTTGAACCTGGGCCACACCTGTTAAAAATGCTGCAAGATCCCCGGCAGTGGCAAGCAGCAGGCCCACAGAGCAGTTAGTCCCAGGCAGAGACCCCCTGACACATGGCGGGCGGGCGGGCTGGTGTGCTGGTCAGTCCCAGGCAGAGATGGCTGCCGGTCCCGAGCAGTGGCTCCCTGACCGGGAGAGTCATCAGGAGGGGGGAAGGTCCCTGACCGGGAGAGTCATCAGGAGGGGGGAAGGAGAAGAACAGCACGGGGGGGGGGGGGGGGGGGGCGGAAAAGTGGGGAGAGAGGCAGAAGCAAAGCTGCCTCTCCTAGAGGAGACTGAAGAGAGAGAGAGTTCAGGCAGGAAGCTGAAGATCAGCCTGGCTCAGCAGATGGGGGAGGGAGTGGGTGTGGCTTGTCTCTTAAAGAGACGAAAACCATAACAACACCTACTGCTGGAAGCTTATATAAGGACAGGAAAGAAGGCAGCTTCTGCTATTTGCCTGCTTGCCTTCACCTTACTAGCAAGTCCATTCCTTCACTGGCCTTGCAGCCTTCATCTTTGGGATTCCAGCGTCTACTGAAGACCTGCTGAGACATCCAGCCTCGGGGACTGAGCAACTTCTGGACTCTTGGACGTCTCATTCATAGCCAGCATTGTTGGATTAGCTAGATCACTGCCTGTAAGTCATTCTAACAAATCTCCTTTATATATATGTTGAGAGAGAGACAGACAGAGAGAGAGAGAGAGAGACTCACTGTGCCTGATCTGCTACTCTAGAGAGCCCTGACTCAGGGACTTTGACACAGACTATCACTAACTAGTTCTCTGGATAATTCATTAGCAGTCACACAATCTCAACTCTGTCCCTTTGTTTAAGAGCACAGAACTAATTCATTCCAAATCACCTTCAAGTTAGAACTAATTTCAAATCACCTCCCAATTAGAATTAAATTCATCCCAAATCATCGCCCCAGGAGAGTTTTGCCACCTCTCCAAGTCCCTGTCTCCATCACTTTCCTTTACAGTTGGGGGTCACAGCATTCCTTGTCACTCGTGCTGGTGACAGCAGAGAGAGGAAGTTCCAGACAGAATGGAGCACCTGGCACTGACTGCTGCTGCTGGCTCAGTGCCAGCTTACCCTCTGCTCAGTGTCTGCAGCAGAGAAATTGAGCAACAGACGTGGGGATTCGCAATGCCATGGGACTGACCCATAGAGAAAGCTGTGTCCCCATCCCACAGGTCCGCTCTCCTGTGACTAATATTTTTTCATAAGCTTCATGCTCTCTACTAACTCACTTCCCTGTTTAAGACGTTTATTGACTAGGACATCATATAACACAATGCCAACAGAGCATGGAGGTGGGGAGAACCCCTGTAATCTCAGCACTTGAGAGGCAGAGGCAGACAGATTCCTGAAGTTCCAGGCCATTCTGGTGTAGAACAAGTTCCAGGACAGCCGAAGACTACATAGAGAAACCTTGCCTCAAAAAAGTTTGCCTCAAAAAAGAGGCAAACACTAATGCAATCAGAATCCATTTTCATTTTGGACAATTCTAAAATTATAAGGCAGCTATAGAAAAGCTTCCTTTTCCTCTGCTTCATCTTTTCAGTTTGTTTTTGTTGTTGAGACAGGGACTCGCTATGTAGAGCAGTCTGGTCTCAAACTCGTTTTCTTGTCTCTGTCTCTAAATGGCTGGGGTTATAGGCATATAGGTTATAGGATGGGGTTATCTGCTAAGGCTGCTCTTAAATGTTAGTTTTAACAAATGTGTGTGTGTGTGTGTGTGTGTGTGTTTATCTGCTGGCATCTTTTCGCCACCATAAGCACCGCACTTTAGTGTGAATGTGTATGTGGTGTGTGTGTGAGAAAGAGGAGGGGGGAGGGGGAAGGGAAGGTGGGGAGAGAAGGAGAAAGAGAGAATGAATCTGGTGCCCTCTTCTGGTCTCCATGGGCACTGTCCTTAGAGTTTGCATGCATACACACATTCAAGCAGAAGTCACAAAAAAACAAGAAATAACTGCACCAGGTTCTCACATTTTAACAGGATAGTGGGGCTGCTGTATTGGCATCAAACACAAGGGGGGGTCAATATAGAGATTACTGCTGTGGTTAAGGATGGTGACCAGATATGAGGTCTGAATAAGTAAGAACACAATGGCGGTGCTGGAGAGATGTGTCAGGTTAAGAGCGCTGGCTGCTCTTGCAGAGGTCCTGAGTTCAATTCCCAGCAAGTACATGGTGGCTCACAGCCAACTGTAATAAGATCTGATACTCTACTCTGACCTACAGGCATACATGCAGATAGAGCACTGTATATATAATAAATAAATAAATATTTTTTTTAAAAAAAGGACACAATGGAATGACAATAATTCACATAGCACGAGGATGTGCCAGGTGTGGCGGTGCACACCTGTGATCCCAGGACAAGGGAGGCAGAGTTCAAGGACGACCTAGACCACCTACTAAGTTCCAGGTCAGCCAGGTGTGCAGAGTGAAAGACCATCCATATCAAAAAGTGTACAGGAGAAGGCTAGACTTGACAACACAGGTCTGTGATCCCAGTACTTGGAAGCTGCAGGCAGGAGGATCAGGAGTTCAATGTCATACTTGGCTACAAGAGACCCTGTCTCAAAAAAAAAAAAAGATACAGGAGGAAGAGATTGGGAGTCAAAGATTACTAAAATTAAGAGAGCAAACAAGCAGAGGGATGCATGCAGGGCACTCTGATTGCGGTGATTTGAGTACTTGACTACTTAGTCCCCAATTGGTGGAACTCTTTGGAGAGGATTAGGATGTATGGCCTTGCAGGAGGTGTCACTGGGGGCGCCTTTGGGGTTTCAATAAACTCTCACCATCCCGAGCTCTCCCTCTGCCCCTATTTATGGATCAAGATGTGAGCTCTCAGCTACGACTCCAGAGCCACACCTGCCTGCCTGCTGTCATGCTCCCCACCATGACAGTCGTGGACTCACCCTCTGAAACTCTAAGTCCAAAATAAAGTCTTGGCCATAGGGTCTCTTCACAGCAACAGAAAAGTAGCTAGGACAAAAGTACACATATGCAATCCTAGCACTTGAGGCTGAGTCAAGACAATTTCAAGTTTAAGGCCAGCCCGGTTATCCTGACTCAAAATTATTTAAATATCAATAAACTTCCCACGTACCAGGATCTATTTAATCACTGCTAGCTGTTTGTATGTTTTTAAGTTTTCTAGAAGTCTTGAGAATCTCAATCAATGCTTTTTCATAAACAGACAGACAGACTTGCAGCCAACAGACCAAACAGACAATGTAGAAGGACTGTTGTACTTGCCAGTGGCTGTGCAGGGTGAGGGCTGCAGCCAGGGAGTAGTCCACCGCAGAGCAGGGGCTCAAGTACCCAGCCGGGAGCAGGCCCAGGAGCAGAACACTGACAACCCTCTCGCTAGTCCAGTGGAGAGAGGCAGCCTTGGAACCAGCTACAAGAAAGAGATTCACAGAGGTGAGGAAGGACAAACACGTCAACCAATCACGCGATGGCTTACACAGTCAGCACGTAAACAGTATGCCAGCAGACCCATGCTGAACGCAGAATCAGATGGCATATCCGTCATGTCTCTGAGCACAAGACACTTTCTTTTTTTTTTTTTTTTTTTTTGATTTTTTGAGACAGGGTTTCTCTGTAGCTTTTGGTTCCTGTCCTGGAACTAGCTCTTGTAGACCAGGCTGGCCTCGAACTCACAGAGATCCGCCTGCCTCTGCCTCCCGAGTGCTGGGATTAAAGGCGTGCGCCACCGCCGCCCGGCTACAAGACACTTTCTTTTTTTTTTTTTTTTTTTTCTTTTTGGTTTTTCGAGACAGGGTTTCTCTGTGGTTTTGGAGCCTGTCCTGGAACTAGCTCTTGTAGACCAGGCTGGTCTCGAACTCACAGAGATCCGCCTGCCTCTGCCTCCCGAGTGCTGGGATTAAAGGCGTGCGCCACCACCTTAAAGGCAAGAAGGCAGGCTACGTATCTGTGGAATACAGGCAGTCTTGGACTTCACTGAAACAGGTATCACGCAAGTGTAACTTAGTGATCACTAATGGACCTCTTTAAAATAATAATGATACTAATAACTGTGTAATCTTTAGAGAAAATGCAGTATTTCTTTAAAAAAAAAAGAAAAAAAAACAGTTTGAGCTGGCTAAATGAAAGAGAAGCATAGGTCTCAGAATACCTTGAAGGTTATGTCCTTCTGCCCCCTTTTACAATTCAGTGCCAACAAATGAAACACAAGGGCTGCCTTTAGACAAGTGAAACACAACACAGCTCTACGCATTTTCTTTTCTTTCTTTCTTTCTTTTTTTTTTTTTGAGACAGGGTTTCTCTGTATAACACCTCAGGCTGTCCTGGAACTTGTTTTGTAGACCATACTGGTCTTGAACTCACAGAGATCCGCCTGCCTCTGCCTCCCAAGTGCTAGGAGGGAAGGTATGCGCCACCACCGCCCAGTAGCTCTAAGAGAACCCGACAAAAGGATGAAGTTCCGACTCAGAAAATTGTACACAGACATAAACATTAAAACTGTGCGTATGACTTTAGGGATGTTTTTTCAGTCCCATATATTTCAGAACCAGTCTGCTAAATCTAACAGAAGAATCCACCAACGAAAATTGGTCAGAAGCAAAAAGATTTTTAAACGGCAGTTTCGTCCAGCTTTTAGCCCCACAGTTGACTGATATTACATGTCTAGTAACTAAAGTGCAAACAAGTTCAAGACCTATGGGAAGAGTGTTTGGTTTCGATGCTGTCATTGTAATTTTTAAAGGCCAGAGCCTTGTGCATCCCAGCCAAGATCTAAAACACTGAGCCACATCCCCAACCTCTGTTTTTTTGAGACAAGGTCCTACTATCCTACTATGTCGCCTATGGTGGCCTCTTTCTAATGCATGATCCTATTGCTCCGGCTTCTTGATGTTGGGAGTACAGACATGTACCACCAGACCCATTTAGGAGTGGTAAATTCATAAATAATTGATTTATTTTATGTATATGGATGTTTTGCCTGCTTGTACGACTGCTGCCTGTGGAGGCCAGGAGAGGGCATTGGATCCCCTGGAACAGGAGTTATAGATGGTTGTGAGCTACCCTGTGGATGCTAAGAATGGACCTGGGTCCTCTGGAAGAGCAGTCAGTGCTCTTAAATACTGATCTGTCTTTCCAGCCATGGGAGTAGTATTTTTAGGGTAACTGAGTCCTCTAAGCTCAATGAATAACTAAACATTCACTATAGTAAATACTAGTAATTTAAAAATCCAATTTTTAATCATAATGTTTGCTGTATTCTAGGAAAATTATTTTTAAAAAACATGAGCTGGGCAGTGATGGATATGCCTTTATTCCCTGCACTCAGGAGGAGGGGCAGGTGGATCTTTTTGAGTTTGAGGCCAGCCTGGTCTATAGAGCAAGTTCTAGGACAGCCAGGACTACACAGAGAAACCCTATCTCGACAAACAAACAAAAAAGAAAAAAAGAAAGATATATCTTATATAATATAAGAGAAGACAACATAAGCCATTATAAACTAACAACAAATATGCTTGTCATTCTGAGTCTGGCTTATTTCATTTAAGGTGGTGACTTCTGGTTTCAATCATTTTTCCACCAAGAAATGTAATTCATCCATCTGTATGGCTGAATAATACTCCATTGTGTGAATATGCATCTTTATCTATTCATCTGCTGGTGTACACCAACTGATTCTATAACTTGGCCCCGGGAACAGTGCCATGAGTAACACAGATATATATGTACAGGTATCCCCACTGTGTGTGGCTTTGATTTATTTGGGTATATACCCAGGAGTGATACACCAGGATAATATGATAATTCTACTTGTTGTTTTTGAGAGAGAGAGAGACCTTCATTGTGGTTTCCATAGAGATTAAATTAAGCTACATTCTGCCAGGAACATAGAAGGATTCCTTTTTCTCTGCATCCTTGCCAGCTTTGTTAGAAATTTCCTTTCTATTTTGTTCTTGTGTTTTCTTGATGATAGGAATTCTGGGTGGGGTGAAATGAAAACTCAATGTAATTTTATAGTATTTGTTTTTTTATAGTTTTAAATCATGTGTGTGCTTGTGCAACTGTGGAGGGTGGGCCTGTATTTGCTCCCATGGAGGCCAGAGACATCAGGTCACCTGGAGCTGGTGATTATAGGCAATTGTGAGCCACCTGATGTAGGTGCTGGGAACTAAACTCAGATCCTCTGAAGAACAGTACATGCTCTCGGGCACTGAGCCATCTCTCCAGCAGCTCAATGCATTTTTAATTCGTGTTTCTCGGGCAGCTAAAGCTGTGAACCTATTTTTCCATGTATCTTTCAGCCATTTGTAGTTCACTGAAAAGTGCACATTCAGTTCCTTTACCCATTTATTGATTAGAATATGAACCAAGCATGATAACTATTTACCTTTGGATATAAGGAACTGAAGCTAGGTCGAGTAGGTAAACATCTACCATGTAACTAATACTTTAGGTTGGTTCCGTTAAAATTGAGTTTTTCAAATGAGTTTTATTTTCTTCTACCGTAAGTGCTTGGTCTCAGATTATGCTATCAAAAATTAATGAGTTCTTAAAAGTACAGATTTATAAATATTTCTCCAAATACTACTGTTTAACTCCATTTTCTTATGCCTATAAGAGAATACCTAAAGTTAGACAGTTTAGAGGAAGAAGCAGCAGGGAAGAGGCAGAGAGAGAGAAAGAGAGACTTAAAAGTAATAAATACAGTTGATCTGTAACCATTTGTAACTACAGCTCCAGGGGATCCAAAGACACACACACACACACACACACACACACACACACACACACACAGGAGACAGAAAGAGAGAGTTAAAATAAATCTTCTTTAAAGTGGCCTCTCTTGAGAAAAGCACTAATCCATTCCTTCCTGTGGGCTCCTCCACAAGGCCCCACCTCCAGCACTGACACATAGACACCAACTCTCATCACGATTCTTGGTGCCTACAAACCATAAAAACAATTAACACTTGTGACTCAGACACAGTCCTGGGAGCTCGGTTCATGAACTTCCTCACCACACAGGACACCAGCTGCTCCCTAGAACCTGCTGTGGTGTAGAGGAAGTTCCAAGTCTTCCCCTGAAGGTCCCACATTTGCGTCTGCTGAAATAAGACTGCAGTCCACAGATTATCGGGAGCAAAGGCTACAAGAGACAATTAACACGTGCAAGCACCTGAGCTACCTGAAACATTATAACTTTCCGAAGCCAGGGGCGAAGTTGGGATTCCTTCCTCAGAGAGGAAGTAGAAGGCTTGCAGGTGATTTTAAAGCAGGATGAAATACTGTTGGGGGAGCCTGACCACAGAGTCAGATACAGACAAGGAGGCCACACCTGGGATCCCAACACTCCCGCAGCTGACGCAGGAGAACTATGATTTCTACAGGACCCCATCTCTATAGGGGAAAACAGAGAAGTAAATGATTGAAGGTAATTGTGTTCCTCTTTAGTGGACCCACCTTCAGGAGACAGAACTTCAGAGAAGTCTCTTTGCTACTACAGGAGAGGAAGGTGTCAAGAGAACCTTCCAGTAACCACGGGAAGGACCAGAGAGACCTGAGGAGGCTGCTTTCATCAAGTTCGTCATCAACACATTAAAGTACATGCAGGAAACTCATTAAATTAGATAGTTATTGAAAGCCAAGGAGGTGGTTTTTGAGGCAGGGTCTTAGGTAGCATCTTACTACATAGCCTCAAACTCCAGACCATTCTTGTAAAAAATGTACTGTTTTTTGTGCTCCTAATTAATACATAAAGCAACAAGATCTACTAAAGAAACTTCAAAGTAATAAAGCTTAAACCATCTCAAGACTCCTGGGACCTACAGTGGCTGCTAATAAGTGAGCATTTCAACTAGTAGCAGGGTCAAGGCACTGTGGTTTGTTCCTTCATAACCCCAGGATGAGGGCTACATTTCAGCTTAGAAATAAATGAGAATAAATATGTCTTGTTTTTCTCCCCAAAGTCACAGATTTCTCATACTTAAAACTCCATGGCAAACCCTTATTCCGTGACAAAATTCTGGAAGGACATATACATAGAATATAGAGTCAGGTGAGGGAAAGGGGGAAAGCAAATACACGGGGATTGTTGCAGAAACACCATATTTATGTAATACTCATGCACGAACACAGACAAACCAGACTTCAGGTCAAAAGCTGCTGCTGCCTTTGGAGGAAACCCACCAAATGTCAGAACCTCTCAGCCTTCTCCCACCCTGCCCTAAACACCAGGTGGAAATGCCACCTCTGTCTCCTCCTCTTCTTTACCACTGTAGCAGTGAGGTCACGAACATTCAGCATCTCATCTACAGGAGGCCACTGGCTTTTCAGTTCAGATAGAACTGGTCCCCAGTATTTCTAGCATCCCCAGTGAACACAAAACTAATCATTCACTAGGGAGCCATATTTTCACTAGGGATTCATAGCACTCCTAGCCAGTATTCGCTAGGAGTAACCCTTTAAAATATTATGAAACAGCATTCTCCTGGTTCCAAATAGCTAAGGGTTTGTAAAGAACATAAACGTGCGTGCTACAGACTCCTGCTTCACATGTATTAAACATCACAGTTTTCATCAGCATACTGAATGATAAATGACTTTCAAATGCGAAGGTTTAGAAGGCAGTATTAAGGAGCTGGAGAAATGGCTCAACCATTAAAAGCACTGGCTACTCTTCCAGAGGACTGGGGTTCAGTTTCCAGCACCCACATGGTGCCTCACAACCATCTGTAACTCCAGTTGGAGGGGATCCAATGCTCTCTTCTGGCCTCCATGAGAACTGCATGCCTGTGGTGCACAGACATACGTGCAAACAAAAATAAATCTAAAAAAAAAAAAAAAGGTAAGAGGTCTGTTCATTTTATGTGTACGAAGAGCAATCTCTGCCTCTTCATGGGTTACTCTTTGCTTTCCTTAGAATAATGTTGGCTGCCACACTGGAAGAAGGCTCATGCATCAACTTCAGGGAAATGGCATTTATTGACAACACACTTTACTTTATACGTAAGTCTAAACCAATAAGATAAATGTGGGGCTCGGGTACAGGTTTTCAACTAGAAATGAAATCAAGAAGTGAGTTTGGACCCCTGTTTGTCATCAAATTCTACCAAAATGTTAATGACCCCCCCCACACACACACACACACTCTGCTTTAGAAATAAAACAAAACAAAACAGATTTCCAAGATTCAGTGCCCTGCCCCACGTCCTGGGTTGACACTCCAGCAGTTTGTCACCAAAATGGTGTCTGGTGCCCTCATGAAAATGTACCATTGAGGAAACACTGCTTCCCAAAAGAAATGCAATTTATGAGATTCTAGGCCCAGAGTTCTGTCTACACCATTCAGGTGAATAGATAAACTTAAAAGGAAAGTTTGCCAGTTTATTAAAAAAAAATACTTTAGCTATGTACTGGGATTACAAATCCTGGATTTAAATTAGTTATTGTTATTTTATTTTATGTGTGTACTTGTTTCTCCTGCATTTATATCTGTTCAATATGTGCATGCTGTGTCCTTGGAGGCCATAAAAGGGTGTTGGATCCCCTGGAACTGGAGTTGCAGAAGGTTGTGAGCTGCCATGTGGGTGCTGGGAATTTAACCGTGGTCCTTTGGAAGAGCAGACAGTGTTTTAAGAACTGAGTCATCTCTCTAGCCCTAGATTTAAGTTTAAACCTAACACACTTGTGTACACACAACCCCTAATAAGCTTAATTTTATGGGCTCCTGAATGTTTGTCATGTGATATTCCTAATGGAGGTCAACAGAGCCCATCACCATTATATAGAGTTTAGGGGTGAGGAGTGTGGGCAGGCATGGTGGCACATGCCTTTAATCCTAGCACATAGAAGGAAGAGGCAGGTGAATATCTGTGAGTTGGAGGACACCTGGTTTACAAAGTGAGTTGGAAGGCAGCCAGAGCATTTTAGCAAGACCCTGAAAAGGGGAAGGGGGGGGGTAATGGAAGGAAGAATAGAGTTCTAAAAGTGAGGGGAAGGGACATGATGAGCTGAACTATATAATTTAACATATTATGTTTCTCTATTCCTCCCTTTAGCTGAAGATGATGGTAAAGTATAAATTTATTTTTCTCTCTTTGCAAATTAGAAGATGCTTGAGACACGTCTATTGTCTGCTGGGAGAAACTGTCCATAGAGATGTCCAAGGGGTAGTTAATAATTACAGTTACATTATATTCAGATAATTCTATGGGAGAGCATATTAAAACTTGAATCCTTCGGCTAATTGACTTAGGTTGTTTCTGTCTTACTTCTGCTGATTATAGCACCCTTGCATGGTGCTTGGACATTTCTGTTGTCTGGCTTGATTTGACACTGGTTGCTATTATGTAGCCTACACTAACCGAGAAGTCACTATATCACCTGAACTGGCCTCATCTGTGACCCTCCTGCCTTCACCTCCCGAGTGTAGGGTCACGAGTGTGCAGCAGCATTCTTGTACAACAGCATTGGCACATGTGTCTCACTGTTTCTTCAGAATAAACTCTAGGGAGCAGAACTGCAGGTTGGCACATCAAAGCCTCAATGGTCCCTCCATTGAGTTTATTATGTACTAGCAAGAGATAATTCCCTAGCCTGGTGTGGTGGAATACACCTTTAATCCCAGAACTTTGGGAAGCAGAGATAGGCATATCCCTAAGTTCGAGGCATTCCTGATCTACAGAGCAAATTCCAGGACTTCCAAGACTATACAAAAAGGCCCTGTATTGAAAAATAAATAAATTATATACACCTATAATTTAAATATATAGATATAGAGAGAATAGATGGATTTTTTGGGGTTGCCAGCTCACAAAAAATGGCATAGAGACATTATTGAAAAGTTTTTGCATCCCTATAAACCTTTCCACTGACCCAATGGTCCAAATCATACCAAATCAAACTGAATTAGAAAAAGGCCAGGTTTAATTGATGCCAGCACTCCTGGATGGCTTTCCAGGCCCTCATAGAGGAGACGGGGAAGGAAGACCAGGAAACCACATGTTTGTTCTCTGGGGTGCTGTTTAAATACCCTGTGGGAGTGGTCTTGAGCATCTCTGGGGAGGGGTCATCGTTTGGCAGACTTTCTCAAAGATGGAGTCTAGACAGAGGCAGCTCCCGGGGGAGGGGGCTTGAAAATGAACTTTACACCCAAATAGAGGCTGGGGTCACGTTTTCACCCAAACAATTATTAATTGTGAAAGCTTGGCCTTAGCTTAGGCTTGTTCCTAACTAGTTCTAATAATTTAAATGAACCCATTTCTATTCAGCTATGTGTTACCATGTGACTCATGGCTTTTCTCTCTCCTCCTGAATGTTTGTTCCCTCAGCCTCCACCTGGCAACTCTACCTTTCTTCCTCCCAGAGCTCTCTGTCCAGAAGTCCTCCTTATACCTCCTGACAGCTATTGGCCATTTAGCATTTTATTAAACCAATCACAAAGACACATCTTCACACAATGTAAAGGAATAAAGGAATAATCCACAACGAGAAGAGAGAGAGAGAGAGAGAGAGAGAGAGAGAGAGAGAGAGAGAGAGAATTCCCTGATAGGGAAAATAGAGATGGTGGGGTAAAGATCCTGAGAGCAAGAAGACTTGAAACTGCAGCTGGGAGAGACGGAGCTCAACCGGAAACAAGGACTGGCAATTGACAGCCTGTGGTGGCATAGCTCTCATATTTGCATAAGTAGGTTGAGGATTGGGGGGGTTGTTTTTCTTTTTGGGGGGTTCTTTGTTTTGGTTTGGTTTTCAGTTTTTCAATGCAGAGTTTCTCTGTATAGCCCTGGCTGTCCTGGCACTAGCTCTGTAGACCAGGCACAAACTCATAGACATCTGCCTGCCTCTGCTTCCCTAGTGCTGGGATTCAGTGTGGGCACCACTGCCTCGCATCTGGCTAAGGATTTAAGGTACTAACATTATAGTAGTGCTATAATGGAGCACGACTAGGTGCAGTTATGAAGGGAAGGGCAGGCAGAAGTACAGCTAGGGAAGAGGTCCCAGAGGAAGGAGACTACAGGGTTTGTGATGTCTAAGAACATGGACAGCAGGAAGGAAAGTGTAAGAACACAAAGGAGACTGGCCAGGAAGTAAAATACTTGAACCTTTGGAGGGAGAGTAGTTCCGAGTGCAATCAGGAAACCCGGTGTGCTCTTAGGAGCACAGTGACGCTCAACAGGGGAACTTGCTCATTGCTGCTTCTAGAGCAGAGGGTTGTGCTGACTCCGCAAACAGAATTACTAGGTGTGTCTGTGGATCTAATAAAACAACTTACCATTAATGATTCGATGTGTGTTATAGGAGACCTGAAATCAGACAACTTTGGCAAGAGACGATCTACAACCTGTGTAATACGAGATATGAATGACCAAGTTCTCTTGGTCATTGGCAGAGAAAGGCAAGCTGTGTTTGAGGACATGCCTGATGCTGACCAACGTGGTACTTTTCTCTGCCTATTTAAAAGCACGGAGACCCACGCGCTTCTCCCCACGCCATTTACTGCCCACATTTTCAAATGTCAGGTCCTGTTCTTAGATGGAAAGTCACAGTAGTAAACAGAATTCCACTTTAGAGAGCACCCTTTTTTTAAATGGAGCGAGGGGTTAGATGCAATAAAGACACTGGTAGAGGTGACCCCCTCTGGGTCTATGGGAGCATCACCGGTTCCCCTATATCAATTGTATTCTCCATAGAAGAACCTTCTCAAATTGGATCATTCATCCCCCACTGGTTATAGCTGAGCATACTGCAGACACCATCAAAACTCAAATGAAAAGTAAAACACAAGCATTTCAAATGAATATCTCTTCCACCAGAGCATGAGAGTGTCTCAAGACTTAAGTTCCAAATATCCCAGTTTGGGGCCTAGTTGAATGTATATTCTTGAAAACAAAAAAGTCCTATCCTAAGTTTTTTGCCTCAACAAATGCTTTAATACTCTATTGGACATTCAATGGTTAAACATAGTCTTTAGGCTCAGAATAACATTCTGTTTTATGATTGGCTTTATTTCTGATTTGAGACAGGATCTCATTATGTATCCCTGGCTATCCTGGAATTCACTTTGTAGACTAGGATTACCTAAAACTCACAGAGATCCTCCTGCCACTAGTGCTGGGATTATAAGTGTCTACATCCACACCTGGCAGGGTTTATGATATCTTTAACACACTCAAGAAAAATATCAGAAATCAAGAAAAATATCAAACTATCTTTAACATACTCCAAATACTTTACCACACTCATGTTGCACACCTACGGTTTATACACCCTGTAAGTGTGATTTAAGGGGAGTGTGGCCAGCTGGGCTTCAGGTCTGTTGGCCGTCAGGCCAAACCTTCACTGCATGGTTGTGACTGACCTATTCTTTGGTTAAATTTCTATAGATGCCAGTTTGGGGGAGGGGAAGTATTCCAATTAATGGTCTCATTTATTAATATTTATTTCAGCTAATCCCCAGACCAGACTGATAATACATTCGTATACAGATTGTCACTCAAGGGGAGAGGCTGTAACCCTCTCTGTGAAGCATGAAAGAATGTCTACTCTCTCCTGTAAGGACAAAGGCATTGCCTTTAAGGTAAGATTCAGTTTCACTTTGATTTTAGTTAAATTAATGAACAAATTATAAACGTCAGATATCCTCAGGCCAATTGTCTAGAGCCCAAAGAGCAGACACAACCACTGAAGTGGATGAGTATGGGGGGCTGTCCACCCCTTCAGTCTAGTGTGCTGATACTCGGTGGTCTCATTTTGTCTCTGAGTCTGTCTGAGAGGAAGAGACGGCTGAAAGCTCTTTTGTTTGTTTTAAACATGTATTTATTTATCAGTTCACAGTTTTCTGTCTGCATGCTTTGCTTATACACCAGAAGAGGTCATAAGATCTCATTATAAATGGTCGTGAGCCACCATGTGGTTGCTGGGGACTGAACTCAGGACCTCTGGATGATCAGTTAAGGCCCCAGCTGATTTTTTTTTTTATTCAGACAGGGTTTCTTGTATCCCAGACTGATCTCAAACTATGTAGTTGAGGGTGGCCTGAAACTTTTAACCCTTCCATCTCTACTTCCATCTCTACTGTACGGATTACAGGTGCATGTCACTATGCCAGGACCTATGCTCAGGGTCTCCCATTAATGCAGACCGTATCCATCATTGCCGTAGGCTGATTTCAGGTAAAAGGCAACTTCATTTCCCTGTCATATCACTAGAGTTTGTGTTCAAGGATTACTTCTCATTTAGATTTTAAACTTCAGCTTGGTCCTAGATCTTCTCTCCCTGAGTTGTGGTTTACTGTTGGGGTCCACCCTCGACAGGTTCGTACATTCCAGGGCAGGGGTATATGGATTAGAAAAATTAGGTAGGAGGAACAAAGATATGAAAGAAACACAGGGACAGAGAACTGGGAGGGCTATACGGTGTATACTGGATACTGAATCTGCCCACATTTATTTTCCATATGCTTATATATCCCAATCCAAAAGGTGAGGGGGAGGGAGAAGGCAAAAGACTGCTTTAACATGACACAAAGGACAACCATAGCAATTACTTGCTTCAATATTTGAGCCATCAAGCCACTATTTCCTGAGTTAAGCATTCTGATGTTTTTGGCAGGATATGCAGTGAATACACCCTAGACTAAGTATCCTGTAGGCAGCCACTCCCTATGTCAAACCTCCTGTTTTAAAATGAAGGGGCAGGAATAGGCTTGAATTCTGTCTGTGGCCTTTGGTCAGGGTAGAGTGAATTCACCTCTGTGGGCCATCTTAGTGTCCAAAAGACCACGAAGTCACAGCCTAGGTCAGGATATCTTGTTTGTAGCCAACCTGTTGTCAACAACTTTGAAAGAGTGAAAATAAGTTCCAACTCTCTGACCTTTGGTCAAGGTGGAACAGAACCTGTATCTGTGGGCCTCCACAATCTCCTCCCTTTTTAATTTATTTATAAAGCCTGTGCTTCTGCTACAGGACAGACTGTGCCTGGCTTGGACATCCTCTTCCACTTTCCAGACTTACCCATCATACATTCTGTCATGTGCGTCCTGTCTTAGATTGCTGGGGAGGGGGATCTACCTGCCATTGAATACAAGTCTCTGTAAATAAAGGGTTACGGGAGAGTGCATCTCTAGGCACTGTGCACCTCTGAGCCAACTTCCTGCAAGGGAGTTCACCAACAACTAGATAGTCATATGCAAGCAGATAATGCTTTGTGATACATATACTCCCATGGGTACAATATCTCCTAGTAAAGAGTAGAGGATGATCAAGAGGGGATGGACTTTTTTAATTGGTTCAAGATGTCTTTAACAATTTTTAGCTACATCAAAATCCAAATTTGTTTCATTAAACATATCAAATCTAAGGACTTTCCATGTCAAATTTCTCTCAGACAAGTTATAATCTTTTTCTAATCAGTAACATCATCGTAGTTAACTAAAGCCGTTGCGAGCATTGACAGCTCAAACCATATTTCTAGTATGGAAATTAACAATAAACACACAATTTGTCAAATCACATTTCTCTAAAATCCAATCTAATCAAAAGACAAGAGGAGGTGTCTGTGATGGGTGAGCTATGAGTCTTTTTTTCCTCCTATAGTTCAGTTGCATTGCTGCTCTGAACATTCAAAGGTAAGTTCAAACTATCCCCGTCTCTGAGGAGCAGCAAAAATTTTCATGCCACTCCTCCTCATCTCTGAAGAGGGCTTCAGTCACTCTTTGCTTCCATAATAGTGTTCCATTGCTTTAACAAGTCTCTTTCCCCTGGATGGGAAATTTTCTGAGGTCTCAGTTCTTTTTTTTTTTTTTTAGAGTTTTTTTTATATATTTATTTATTTATTTATTATGTATACAATATTCTGTCTGTGTGTATGCCTGAAGGCCAGAAGAGGGCGCCAGACCTCTTTACAGATGGTTGTGAGCCACCACGTGGTTGCTGGGAATTGAACTCAGGACCTTTGGAAGAGCAGGCAATGCTCTTAACCACTGAGCCATCTCTCCAGCCCTGAGGTCTCAGTTCTTAGTCCTTTTATTTCAACAGCAGATTGAACACCATACTGGCAAAATGAGTTCTGTGTCCTAAGATATAATATGGATAAACTACCAAATATTCAGTCAGCATTCTTGGTCTAGCTCCAAAGTAAATAGGACTCACTAAGGTCTGGAAGTTTGTGCAGTAGGTCCACCAAGGAGCTGGGAACCACCAACCATCACCACGATCTTCCATCCCTTCTCAGGCAGCAGCATGATGGCACCAAGGAAGTCAGGAACACAGACTCAGGAACCTCACTCTGACTCTTCTATGGGGACACCAGCATCTATGATGTCATCAGGGCTGGCACTTCTCTATTTTACAAGCAGTATTTTCTTCCTATGAAAAAAAGCACAAACATGACTCCAATGGCATATTAAAACAGGATCATGTCCTTTCCAACATAGACTGAGGGTAAAACTCCCCTGTTTTTTCTTTTGAAGTTGTGTTTTCAAGGAGCCATGGACGTGCTCTACAATTCTTTGTCCTTGAGGATTATAAGGAATGCCTGTTTTATGTTCAATATTCCATTGGGAACAAAATTGCTGAAGTGCTTTACTAACATACACAGACTTATTGCTCGTCTTTAGAATTTTAGGGATTCCCATATATGAAAAACACCTTAAGCAATGAATTATCATATGGTTAGTAGCTTCTCTAGTCTGTGCTGTGGCCATAAATAAAACTGAGTATGTATTGATTGTCACATGCACGTATCTTAATTTGCCAAACTCTGCAATATGAGTAACATTCATTTGCCAAAAATGATTAGGAAGCAGGCCTTCCTGAAAAGGTACAGGTAAAATTGTGGGCATATATCACATTGCTTAACAATCTGATGACCAATTTCTCTTGTTAATCCAAATTGCTTTCTCAAACTTATTCTATTTTAATGATGTAGAGCATGTGATCACTGAGCAAGCTCAACTTGAGATAAAGCAATCAACTGAGTAAGTTTGTCAGCTAAAGAATTACCTGCAGCCAACGGAACAGGAAGATTTGAATTTCTCTAATGTGATTCAGAAAGCCTGGCAATTTTCTTTCACGAATGGCATCTTGAATTTGTTGGAACAGCATTTTAACTTGACAATTACTAGTCCTAATGCATGGAACTGTTTCTAGTACATGAAGAGCTTTAAAAATGTACTTACTGGCCGGGCGATGGTGGCGCACGCCTTTAATCCCAGCACTCGGGAGGCAGAGGCAGGCGGATCTCTGTGAGTTCGAGACCAGCCTGGTCTACAGAGCTAGTTCCAGGACAGGCTCCAAAGCCACAGAGAAACCCTGTCTCGAAAAAGCAAAAAAAAAAATGTACTTACTGCCCATGCGTAAATTAAATGTCTTATCTGCAAATAGCTGGAACAGTACAGCAACAGCTCGCAGAGCAACTGTCTGAGCTGAGGCTGGATCTGTTTGCACTACGAATCCTTTACTATCAACAACATACGCTGCTCTTCCATTGGAAGAACCAGCCGTAACAACTAACCTAGCATCCTTTAAGGGATCTTTCATTACATTTTTTTTTTTTTTTGGAAAATAAAGAAATGTAGTTGTGTGATTTGCAGCAATCGATCAGTTGGGAAAAGATTATCAGTCTACTCTTCAAATTGAGCAAACACAATTGCCTAAGAATCATTATTTAGAAATAACAGATCAATCTGTTGCTTAGTGTAAGAAACATTGATCACAGTAGGTTCCCTGCCAGAATATCACCCAGATTCCATCCTGTTCTTCTGTACTAAACAAGTTACTGCTTCAAAAGAAGTGTTTAGTACCTTGACTGGCGAAATGGGGTGCTGTATCAATATAAGCAGGCCATTTTTGCCGTAATACCACTGTGGGAGTAGGTTTTATAGGGACTATACATGCTGCCTAGGTGGATCATAATTAATATAATGTACCTGCTGCTTTGTATTGCATGTTTCACCTGTATCAGTACCTGTCTACCAGCATCTGTAAGCTGTCTGGTAGAATTCAGGTCACGACTCACCTAAAGAATTACACTTAATGGCTCAAGGAACACTGTGGGGAATTTTAAATAATGTCTCAGTCATTGAATATCTCCTAACAATCAATGAAAATCATTCAGATTCTGTAAGCTATCCTTCCTAATTTCTAATTTCTGAGGTTTCATTTCTTTAGGATAACATACGATCTAAATACTGGCAAGGTGGGTGCCTTTGCACTTTCCCCGGGGCAATAACCCACCCTGCATGGGTAAGACTCTCTCAAAGTTGTCCACATGTCTCAAGCAAAACTTCTTCATTTTTATAGGCAAGCAAGACAGCATCCATATGACTGATAATATAAACTTGTGGAAATTGGTCTATAACATTTTGCATAGCCCGAACCACAAATTTCTGGCATAATGTAGCGCTGTTTGCCATGCTCTGAGGCAAGATGGTCTACTGACTATTTGAAATTAACTGATAGAACACCAAATGCAAATCACTGGCATGCTAAAGGAATAGTATAAAAACAATCCTTTAAAGCTATAAGAGTCTTATGAGTATTTTTTGGTATAGCTGTAGGAGAAGGCAATCCAGGCTATATAAAGCCCTCATGGGCTGCATGGTCTCATTAACATCTCTTAAATCATGTATTAATCTCCATTTTCACGACTTCTTTTTAATCACAGAAACAGGAGAATTCCACGACATAATGTGACCATTATCCAGCTGTTCCTGCACTAACGCTGGGCAGCTTGTCATTTTCCTTCTGGTAGAGGCCAGTGTTAATCTATACAGGCTCGTCACTTTTCCAAATAAATGGTCTGTATGGAGTGCAGTGGCATCTCCTAAAAGTACTCCAATCCTGCCCTGGGCGCACTTCTGCTAGGTATGATAGGATCAATCCTTCCCTCATTTTCCTTGCCCAGTCCTTGATTGGGTAACAACCCTTGCTGAAACACTTGATTAGCAGTAACTGTGTTGGGGAAATATAAATATACCCCAATTCGGTTCATAATGTCTCAGCCCCACACATTTACAGGTAAATGAGGAAAAAAGTATGGCTGAAAAGTTTCTTCATGGCCCTCTCCATCTTTCCAGTAAAGTTCATTGCTACTTTGTTCAAGAGTTTGATCAATCCCTTGTAACTGTGTCATAGTCTCCATTTTAGGCTTAAAGGCCATCGGCTGGCAGTTATAGCAGAAATATCCGCACCAGTATCCAGAAGACCAGAAACGCCTTTTCCATTTATAAACAAAGTGAGTTTGGTCACTGTGGACCCATGGCTTAGAGCCAATAGGTATCAGATGAATCAAACCCAGCTTCTCCTCTCTTACCTCCCTTGACTTAATTTCTGATTTGCCCTTTAGAAAGTAAAATTAATTGTGCAAATCTCTGGCCTGTCTTTACCACAGTGACTCCATTAGGTGAGTGAGGCATAGCCTTGATTTCTCCTTCAAAGTCAGCAGTCAATGACTCCAGAAGCAACAAGCATCCCTTGCATGATGGTGCTACCTCTCCCCAATAATAATCCTACAGTGCCTTCCCATAAAGATCCATAAACCCCAGTGGAGAGAGCTTGCATCCCCATTGCAGGAGTTAAACTGTAAAAGGCAGAGCTGAGATTGAGCCCTGCATTGCCTGGGGTTGCTCTGCAAAGGACCTGAATGGATTTCCTTGTCGGGGAAACAGACTGCTGGATCGCCCTATATATTGTCTTGGGGCCTGAGACAAGCCCCCTCTGCTCGATTCCTGGCAGGGGATTGATTCCCTTAGGCATCTTTCTTTGGTCTACATTTGTTAGTTCACTGTTTCGCTCTCCTGCAACTTCAGCACAGTCCCTGGTTCCTTGTTCTTCCCTGGGCTTACTGTGTATGCTATCTATCAGAACACTGCCTGATCTGAGGTGCCAAAAGACCACACCCAAAGCAGCTTCCAGGAGGCCCTGCAGCCCTCGTCTCTGGGCCTTGATTTCTTTGTTGGGAGAGAAGATCTCTAACTGTCTTTCCCTGTAAAGTAGAGGCTATAGGCAGTCTCTGTGTATATGAGGGGCCAATATCTAAATATAATCTTTCAAAGTCATTGACAACAGGTGTGGCTACAAACAGTTGACCAGGCACAGCTTCGGAAGCAGGTGCTAATCAGAAGGCAACTTATACTACCGTCTGTCACAGCCCATACTAGGTTGGTAAATATCCAAGAACTATGGCTGTCAATTTAACTAGTTCTGTCGAAAGAACACCTTCTGAATCTTCTATGCATCTCAAAAAGATAGAATGTATTTTTAATTTTAGAGATTTCTTGGTCAGTCCATAGGATCATGGGGATCTTTACTGCCATGTGGTCAAAATCAACTCCAAAATATCAGTTCCATAATTAACATGGAAGAACCTTGGGCAGTTCTCATATTTTCTAATACATCCTAAAAGGAAAACAAAATGTGAGAATAGGTAAAACCAGGCAGCTCCAGTGGGAGAGACTACAGTTTCTATTCAGCTAATCCTGACTAGGACCCTGGTGTCCGGACAAAACATACAGGAATCAGTGCTTGTACTAAACTCAGGACAGAAGGGAGAGACTACTGTGCACTGTTATGCTCGGAAAGCAGAGTCAGGGGCCACAGACTGAGTCTGTGCAGCTGGGCCATTGGGGAACCCAAGACTCAGCTGGAGAACAGCTGCTGGTCTAATCACACTACAGTGTAGTATCAGGATCACAGAAAGAAGGAGCTGAGATTCGGACACCTCCCGCACCTCTCATGATGATTCAGAAACTAGAGCTACTGAGCCAAAGTGGGGAGTCCGTCAGTGTGTTAGCTAAGAACAACTAAAGAAGACAAGAACTGAAACCAGCCCGATGAGATGGTCATCTCTGCTAGAACTTCTCTTCATCGTTAGCATACCTGGACTCCCTTGGTGGAAGAGAACAGAAGGAAGGTCTGGGCATAGGGGAACCAGAAGGCCTGTGTGTTGATGAGGGTGCCAGGTGGAAAAGGTCAGAACGGACAGGAAAATAGGAAGTTAGGAATTAAAGAGAAGCAGTCAGTACTTCTACCTTCAGAGAGTTTATTTCTTTTTTTTTTTTTTTTCGAGACAGGGTTTCTCCGTAGCTTTTGGTTCCTGGAACTAGCTCTTGTAGACCAGGCTGGCCTCAAACTCACAGAGATCTGCCTGCCTCTGCCTCCCGAGTGCTGGGATTAAAGACCTGCGCCACCACCGCCCGGCCAGAAAGTTTATTTCTTAACTCTTGAAAAAAGTAAAGCTGCTTCAGGTTGTTTAGTAACACACTTTTAGTATTATAGTGCACATATAAAAATTGGTAAAGTCATTTTAAAAAAATTTGTTTTCTGATGCACAACTGTGTGTACATGTGTTTCTTTGGAGGCCAGAATGGGGAGCTGGGTTCTCTGGTGCTGGAGTTTAGGCATTTGTGAGCTTCCCCATGTGGATGCAAGAGCCAAATACCAGACTCTGAGAGACCTGAGCAGGAAGCCATCGCTCTAGGCCCAGTTGCTTATATCTGTAAAAATTATGTAGTTGGGGATGGTGCCACACGCTTTTAATGCCAGAATTCTGGAGGCAGAAGCAGGTGGATCTCTGTGAGTTTGAGGCCAGCCTGGTCTACAGAGTGAGTTCCAGGTCAGGTTCCAAAGCGACACAGTAAAATCCTGTCTTGAAAAAAAAAACAAACAAACAAAAATTATGTAATGTTGGGCCAGGCAGTGGAGGCATATGTCTTTAATCCCAGCATTTGAAAGTCAGAGGCAGGCAGATCATCATAAGTTCAAGGCCACCCTGATCTAAAAATTAGTTCCAGGACAGCCTGGACTACTACACAAAGAAACCCTGTCTCAAAAAACAAACTACCACAACAAGAACAACAACAAAAACAACAACAACAAAAACTATGTAATGTGTGTTTTCTCCACAGGAAATGGATCCACCTGAATATATCGATGGTACTAAAAGTGATTTCATATTCTTTCTGAGAAGTGTTCCAGGACACAATAAGATGCAATTTGAATCTTCAATGCACGAAGGACACTTTCTAGCTTGTGAAAAGGAGGGTGATTTTTTCAAACTCACATTGAAAAAGAAGGATGAAAATAGAGATAAATCTGTAATGTTCACTGTTACTAGCTTACCTCAGACTTAGGTATTAAGCATTTTTGTACCAGAAAGATGAGTAGATTACATGAGCCTTATGATAATCCATTCTGTGTTGCCATAGCAAAATACCCCAGGCTGCATAATTTATAAAGCAAACAGGTTCATTTATCTCACGTGTCTAGTTCAATTCCTACGTCCTGGTGAAGGGCCCTGGCTGCATTACAGCATACAAGATAAAAGGAAAGGAATCAGCTGCATGTGAATTAGCACATGGGTGAGCCTCACTTCATAGCAACTCTTTCTTGAGAGAGGCTTCGGCCCTTCCCAATGCTGGAACCCTCAGGAGCTGTTCACCTCCCACCTCTTTAATATATCACCACCTCAACATGGTTATACTGGCGATCAAGTTTCCAGCAAATCTATTCACGTGACAGTGAAATAAATACTAATAATGACCTCAACATGCCATTTAAGTATGATACTAATTATGATATTTTTTAAGTAGCACTTATGGGGTAGAGAGATGGTTCAGTGATTAAGAGCACTTGCTACTCTTCCAGAGGGAGATACACCACACACACACACACACACACAAATATATGGCAAATATATGTGTGTGTGTGTGTGTGTGTGTGTGTGTGTGTGTGTGTATACACACACATACATACATATGCATGCAGTGGGGTTTTTTTCCATGGGTGTTATGTCCCTGGAACTGAAATTAACAGACAGTTGTGAGCTTCCATGTGGATGCTGGGCATTGAACCCAGGTCCTCTGGAAGATCAGTCAGTCCTGTTAACCACTGAGCCATCTCTGCAGACCCCTTCCAGAGGACTCTTGTGTATATGATGGGGTATGCACATGCCACCCTGAGTGAGGGGAGTCAGTTCTATCCTTCCATCTTTGTGTGGGTTTCAGGTTCCAGGTTCTAGGACTCAAACTCACATTGTGAGGCTTGCATAGCAAGTGCCTTTATCTGTTGTGTCAATTCGCTGACTGTGTTATGTGCTGTCTTAGCCATTACAATTTTATTTCACTGGGAGAAGTTGAAGCAAATCAGCATTATTAGGGAGTTTACACTGTCCTTGGCCCCAGCTCCAGCATCTCTGACACCTTCTGGTTCTCCTCTCTCTCTCTCTCTCTCTCTCTCTCTCTCTGTCTCTGTCTCTCTCTGTCTCTCTGTCTCTGTCTCTCTCTCTTTCTCTCCCCTCTCTCTCCTCTCTCTGTCTCTCTCTCTATCACACACACACACACACACACACACACACACACACACACACACACACTTAAAAATAAAATCTAAGCAGAGAACACATCTAACAGCAACTTTATTTTATCATCCCTGGTCAGGGCTCTCTGGTCCGTTTGGAGTTAGGCCCGAAGGACTGAATTCTGCCCTCTTTGTTGTCTTTCAATCATTTCCTTGAGACTGAATCTGAGTCTCACTATGGAACACATTCTTCTACCTGACACCCCCACTGCAGGTTTTATGTGCAGGCACCACATGTTTTCTGGACAGTTTTGTTCTCTCTCACTTCTCATCGGTCTCCTGAAGGTTGATACCTATAGAATAGGATGGAGACCATGATAGAGTCTGAATTTCAGAGTCAGACAACCCCTTAAAGAGTGGGGTGCAGTACTGTGATGCAGACTGGATTTTAGGGTCAGACACCCTCATTTTGAATCTCGTCCCATAACCTAAGAACCAAAATGAGAAGAGACATGGACATGGATATACTCTTTCTGGGGGATCAATGGACAGACATTCACACTGGAAACCACAGAAATGCCTCCTCTGTACGGTACCTGTGTGGATCACATGACACAAAGATCCCGATGGCATACAGCACTGGAGTACTTGACACTTCTCCATGTGTCCACCACTCACTTCCTCCTCGGCTCGTCACTCACACATCATGTCTCAGACATGAGGCCTTTCCCTCCCCCGTGCACTCCCCTCCCCCACCCCACACACACCATTTTGGGTCATTCCTATTCCTGCAGATGCTCTCTACTCTGAAGGAGCAGCACTTCATGCTTCTGCTCTTTCTCCTGGCTCTTAGACATATGTTGCTTCTTTTCTTCCCATCTTCTGTCAACACATGGGCTTTATAATATGGGGAGAAAGTGTAACCTCATAAAGCCTGTTCCATTTTCCTTGTTGGTTTTTCCAATTCCCACCCCCTGATTGCTGCACAAGAAAATTCTAATTTACCTAGTGCACAGAAACAGCTGCTCACAACTGGAAACCTTGTTGCTGTACTGACAGTTTTCAACCCAACAGTTGACTGGGCTGTAGTCACAGCTTCAAGCAGCCTCAAAATTTCCTCCAGTGGTGTCTGAGCTGTTGGCTCATGGCTGAGCCTCTCACTCTCAAGATGGGCTTTTTGGGGGAGGGTGGATGTTTTTGTTTTTGTTTTTGTCGGGATCTATATTCAGTGTATTCCACAGAGCTCAGATCTGAAGACTAGAAAATAAAAACAATAAAGGGCATAAGCACTGAAAAAAAAAAAAAACTCAAGCTTGAGACGAGAGACCATGAGGCTCAACCTGCCCAAAGTAGGTCTACACTGGAGGCATTCCTCCCTCCTCTTCCCCACCCCTATTGCTTCCTCCCCTTTCTTTGGAACACTTTCCTTTTGTGTTCTGTATTAGTCAGGGATCTAGAGGAACAGAACTGATAGAATATGCATATATAACACATGCTTGCGCGCACACACACACACAGGACTTATTAGCATAGCTGGTAGGCCGTGATAAGCAGTCCAACAATAGCTGTCTACCACAGAGTGTCCAAGAACCCAGAAGTTGCTCAAGGATGGAGGTCTCAGCTCGTCTTTACTCCATAACCAGATCCCAAAGAAGCAAGCTCTAAAGCCTGTGAAGGGATGGACTTACCAGCGAGAATAAAAGTGAGCAGGCAAAAGAGAGGAAGCCTTCTTCTTCCAGGTCCTTTATACAGGCTACCACTAGAAGGCCCAGTAAAAGTGGGTCTTATCACCTCAAAAGATCGGGATTAAGGTATATCTTCTCATATCAGAATAGCTGAATTAAACATAGGTCTTTCCCACTAAAAATGATTTAATTAAGAAAAAATTTCCAGCCAGGCAGTGGTGGCACATGCCTCTAATCCCAGCACTTGGGAGAGAGAGGCAGGTGGATCTCTGTGAGTTCGAGGTCAGCCTGGTCTACAAGAGCTAGTTCCAGGACAAACTCCAAAGCTACAGAGAAACCCTGTATCGAAAAACCAAAAAGAAAAAATTTCCTCACAGGTGTGCACAGACGCTTGAGCTTTGGTTAATTCTACACATACTCAAGTTGACAACCAAATAGCCATTCGGACCCTTACACTGAAGGGCAGTCTGCACGAGGTTTTCAGAAATTTTTAATTCACTTTGCTGTAGCATTTTAATTTTTAAAAAAGTAAGAATTTTCTCAGAAAGCTCTCAAATGTCACGCCCTGAACACAATATATTTTCAAGATTTTAATTTCTAATATATGTACATGCATGGGAGACCGTATATGTGAGTGCACTGCCCGTGGAGGGCAGAGAAGGGCATCGGGTCCCCTGGAGCTGGAGTCACAGGCAGTTGTGAGGCACCAGACATGGCTGCCTGGAACTGAGCTCGGTTCTCTGTGAGAGCAGGAGCAACTCTTCCCTGCTGAGCTGTCTTCCCACCCCATCATATGTTCAGTACCAGAAGCACATAATACTTTTAACCATGGTGGTATGGTCCTGTAATCCCAGAACTCTGGGGGGGAAAGCAAAAGATGAGAAGTTTAATGTCGTTCTCTACGGTTATAGCAAATATTGAGGCAAAATTAGGCTGCACGGGATGGGTAGGCACCTAGTCCTCCACTACGATGATCACACCGTGGCACAGCCTAAAACATCGTCCCTTGTACTCTCTGGCTGGCTGCTCACAAACGTGCTACTTAGCAGACTCTCACTCCTGTCCACGAAACCCTGGAGCAGTGTGGCTGTCTCCACCAGCATGAGTGACAAGCGTGGTCACTGCTCTGGGATCCATTTTCATTCCGTCCTTACACAGGCAGGTTTCTCGGGCCATTGGTGTTGATTGACAGAGCCACCCGCATGCCTCCCAGAGCCCCTGGCAGAGTTCCATCCACTTGGGCATTGTCCTATCCTTACCTTGATGACATTTCCTTACTCACAGTAGTCCTCTGAGGGCGAGTGTGGGAAGGATATTTGTCCAAATCGAGTATTTTCCCACGGCTGAGAGAAGAGAGAGTCCTTTCTGAACAGGTCTAGGTGAGTCCAGGAACTGACATGGTCATTGTTTGCTTAATATTAAATTATTTTGTACTGCTAGTAGGGAAAGAGCCAGCCTTAGCAGAAAGTCTATACCCAGAGGGAAGAGCAAGGAGCCAGCGCCTGATAGAAAACCATTCCTGCCTCTGATCCTTTAACAAGGAGCTTCTATCAGCATTAACTGGATTTCCTATGGCCCTTACCTGAGAGTCAGCAGAGTAAACCAGTCAGCCTTCAGGAAAGCTCCTTAGAACACTGAATGCCTGGCTTTCTGGACTCTGCAGGACTGCTCTGAAGAAGTTCAGGTCTTACCTGCTGTCCCCCATTTCTTTTACACTGGAGCTGTATTCTAAAGACAGCATATGGATCTTGTTTTTGTGTTTCATAAATGCACAGTGAGGATGTCGACCTTCCCTGACCCTTGAACTCAACAGGGAAGCTCTCATTGGATCTTCTCCCACCTCCTCCCCAGATCCATTTTTTCAGGAGGAGGCTGAGCCTGCACAGCCTATAATTCCACACCACTGGTCTCAGAATTACAGGTCATTTGAATACTTTAATTTTCCAAGGCTGGACTGTTGGTACAGTACAGAGTGAAATGGGCACATGGGAAGGGGCAAAGGAAGGATGATCAGAGGTTCAAAGTCATCTTTACCAGCATAGAAAATATAGAACTAACCTGGGGTAGAACAGACCTTCTTTAGAAAGAATAAAAAGAATAAACAAAGAAAATTAGGGGGCTGGTGAGAGGACAGCCTGCTTGAGGCCTGGGACCCACAGCTAGGGGAAAAGCACCCACTCCTGTGAGTTGTCCTCTGACCTCCCCTGTAGCATGAGCTCATGTGCAAACACACAATAATACATAAAATAGAACTCAAAACCTTGCAAGCCTCCAAAGCACTGAGGTCCTGAGGACCCTAGTCAAGAGCCTAGACTGTGCTGAGGGCAGAAGGTGACATCTGTGACTCAGGCTTTGTCATTTATCAGTGGCCTACAGCCTCAGAATCTTTCGTGGTTAAAGATTTACTATAAAATCAGAATGCCAATATCTTCTAGCCCAAGAGCAGTGAGGTCACAAGCAGGCTGCACACAGTGTGCAGAGCCAACACGCTGGCCCTGCCTGGTCAGCATCCCTCTGTCAGCTTGATAACACTGCACACCCA